GACCTCCTGTTTCCCAGGCACTCCCCTCACTGGCCCACTTCCCTTGTCAAATCCTCCAGGCATCTACCACTGTGAAGGACAGCACAGGAACCCTGGAGGGTACCAGGAAACACTAGGTTCCTTCCCTCGGAGAACTAATAGTACAGTTAGCAAGTGGACATTTGAGAAATGGAAAATAAAGGAAACAGATAATAAGAACCCAGGGATTTAACTGGGAAGCTGCAAGAGGCAAGGAGGCTTTCTGGGTCAAGAACTAAGCCAAGCTCCAGGCTGGTAACATTTAGTCAAGAATAAAACAATGAGAGGAGATCCTTATTGTATCTTTAGGTAGGAAAAGATCCTGAATTCAGATGCAGAAACAATGAAATTAAGTCAGTGAGCAGGCTAGTTTGACTAGAGATGAAGAAATGTACAGAATAAGAGAGACATTATATAGAAAACAATTGTTATCTTTAACCCAGAAGCATCCAGGAAAGCTACAGTATGCTCGCAATACTGAATTAGAAAATGGTATCTATGAAGACCAGCCCTGGTTACTCAGAGGCATAGAAAGACTACACATATAAAGAATTCTAGCAATATCACATCTAATATGGATGTGAACTAGTAAGGCTTCCCAACACTCGATACAGAGTCAAGAAACTGACATTCCTTATGTGGTTAAGGTATTCTGATTGCTTCCACAGAAACAATTGTTCCTAACATTCTTTGCTGTTGATCCCTAAACTAGACTGTATACTCCCCAAGGAGACCACATCTTTTCCTTGTTTCAGTCTTCTCTGGCTCAGAGCTAGGGCTCAGAGGAAGCCAGCCCTTTACGTGTCGCTCCACTGTGGTGAAGTCCCCTGAACTGTCACCTGTACTACACGCCTCACTGTGTTTGTGGGCTTCTTCAGAATGAAGAGAGGCAGCTGACAAGCTCTTGGACAAAATGAGTGACACAAATCCAGCTGACTTATTCTTGGGATTGCAAGATTTCTCCATCTCAAAAAGGGACTCCCATTAATGTTTGTTTTCTCTGGTATAACGGAAATACTATGAAACCTAACAAATTAACATTTTCAAAGACGCTGGGTTCCTCTTATGGGAAGCCACTGTCATCAAGTACCACTGGCTTGTTCAACATGACATAGTGAAACACCACTTCCCATAATAATTTTAAATCAACATTAAGTGATGTGGTGTGGTGCTGCTTAAATCACTGAAACGATGTGTCATTCAGATAATATTTCAAAATAAAAGTGGAACCTCATCAAATTGAGAGAACTTGCATTAACTTTATTTTACAGTGGTAAGGATCAAAGAAACTGATGCTAACTGGGTAGATGTGGTGGACCTTTCTTGACTTATGACAGTGACTCAGCTGTTTTATTAACAAGTTAAAGCTACATAAATGATGAATCAATGCCCACAAAGCAGGAAAAAATGCCAGTTTCCCACTAAAAATCGCAAAGTGTGATAAACCTATTTCCGTTAAGAAAACTGCTGGAGTTTTTACTGGGGGATTTCCCAGGCAAACAGAGGCAAAGATATATAAACCCAAAGCGGAAGGTAAGCACATTTCCTCTTAGTGTTTTTATGCTGGACACTAATGCAAACACAGTGAATAATTCAGAGCTGTTTCAAGTCATCCTCCTCTCCAAACCTGATCGGAAGAGATAACATCTTCTGCGCTTGCCCCTTCCAGTTGGGCTGGCGCAGGGAAAGGGCACACATCCTGTAGGGGGAGCAGAGCAGCAGGGGAACGCCACAAAAGTGAAAACATCCACTTCATCCGGTCATAGAAAGTACCACCACCTCTCCCTTCCTCTCCATTTTCACTTTCAGGATTATTTATCAGCTACTGCAATCACTTAGCAACATCCTCTGGCTTCCAAACCTGAATCTCTCAGCCATGCCAAGGTTGTCTGTCTTCACGCCATGTAATAGGCACTCTACCTGCTTTAGTTTATCTAATCCTAATTTCCCATGAGGTGCAAACTAAGGCTCAGAAGAGTGAAGGAACACCGCATCACCCAGGTGTCATTCCTGCCAAAAATGAATGACTCTGTTTAGGAGGAAAAATCCAGACAAGTCCAAACTGTGGGACATTCTGCAAAATAAATGTCTCGAGTTCTTCAAAAACTGTCAATGTCATGAAAAGCAATAATAATAATAATAAAGAAGATAATTTTTTTAAAGCTGGAAATTTCCATTAGAGTCAAAAAGACTGAAAAAAAAAAAAGACAGAGAAAGAACCGTGATCCTGATTAGATCCTGGATCATAAAAAGAAAGAAAAGAAAAAGAAACTCTAGCTATAAGGAACATTATTCACACAAAGGGGGAAATCTGAGTATTGACTGCATGTTAGATAATAACATTTTATTGGCATAAATTTTCTGAATGTGATAACTACACTTTGATTATGTAGGAGAAATGTCCTTCTTAGGAGATCCCTCCTGAAGTAATTAGGGTTAAAGCTCATTGATATTCACAGCAATCTCTCAGATGGTTCAGAAACAACAAACAGGCAAGAAAACAAAGGATCACTCAAGTTAGAAAGAGACACAGAGAGAAGGCGGCAAAATGCTAACAAAGGGTGAATATGGGTGTGAGGTTTATAGGTATTCACTGTGCTAGTCTTGGAGTTGTTTATATGTAACAAATGTTCAAAAGAAGAAACTGAGAAAAATAATAAAACAAAATGTTAAACACAAAACCAGAAAGCAGCAGGAGCATCTAAGGAACACACTCAAACAATTAGCAATTGGGATTTAATTGGGTATTTGTGGTGGTGTTTTTGACTCTGATAATGGCTAAAATCTTTTTCTACATGTATTCTTTTAAAGGCTATCTACAAAAAAGAAAACACATAGATTGCTCTTCTCTTGTATTCTTGTAGAGTCTTATGACTACTGATAGGAAGATGAGACAGAGGAAGAGGTCCCTATGGATAATTTCTTAACTTCACTACCTTGATTCTTGGCCCGGCAGAGTAAAATGGAATGTTGAGAAGCCCATGGATAATACCATTTAAAACTCAACTGGACACCAAATAAAATCCTAAAATGAATAAAACCCTCAACTTATCTAAATACATCTAACTGGCAAGAATGCCTGTCCTCAGTGTCTGTGAACTTAATAGATGATTATCATTTGCATGGCTTTGCTGATGAATTCTGGGGGGAAAGGCTAATAATTTGTTTACATTTAACCATGTACACAGAACTGTAGCGATAAGTCTAACATCTTTGGATCTGTGTTTCTAACTGCCTCTCAGACACATCCACAGGGATATTTTACAGCCACCTACAACCCACAACCCTACCATCCATTTATTATCAGATTTCCTACTTTCCCACCCTCCCCTCTACTCAACACCCTCTTTTCTTCTGTTAATGGCACAATTTTCCATCTTGATGTCTAGGGGTATAACTCAGGAATGAATTTTGGTCCCTCCTCTTCACTCCACATATACATTAATAACTAGTAATTTGGCCTCCTAAATAATAGCCCTTGAATAAATTCTCTACCCTTACTTCAGGTCCTCATATTGCTCACAAGCACTCCTACAACAACCTCCTTCTTTTTTCCCCTACCTCTCATCCCTGCTTCTAGTCTTAATCAGTCTACCAACTTGTCACCGGAGTTCCTTCTCTAAGATGACAATCTGATGTGTTTCTCTCCTGATAAAGGGCCTATACTGGTTTTCTACTTCCAATAGGATAAAAGGCAAAATCTTTAGCATAAAATATACGGTCCCCCATTAGCCAACCCACTCTTACCTGACTTCATCGGCCATGTCTACCTGATGATGCTACCTGAGCTACTGCACTTTCCTCCTCCATGTGTGCCCTTGCCCCTCTCATGTCTTATGTATGTTCTTCTGGTTACCCTGGGTGTTGTTCCCCATTTACCCACCTGGAAAGCCTTAGTCTTCCTACAATGCCTAGATTGTTCTGTCTTTCTTTTCACTCCCTCCCTGAGGCAAAGTTGGGTACATCCGTTTTGGGCTCCTGTGGCATCTCTGTCATGTCATTTATCCAACCAGTATTACTATACTTTATCAACTTGTCTGTCCTTGTCACTAAATCCTGTAAGGGCAGGACCAGGTTTTAATCATCTTTGCATTCTCAGCACAATGTCTGATACATAACAGGTACCCAAAAGATACTTATTCAATGAACAGATGTGTTAATAAATAAAGGACAGGCATATATTTTAAAAACATAGTTTACTGGACTTAAAAACACATTAAAAAAAAACCAACTCATAGATCAGGCTAACACCAGTGACACCACAGACTACTGGTGAAATCAAAGATTCTTGCCTATTCAACCCATTATGTTGTCCACCAAGTGCCTGTGACTCCAGGATCACACAGGGGTGCCCGCAAGAACTTTGTTCCCTGTGAATGTCTGAGAGTAATCCCCACATAGGTCAATTCAAGCCAGATGACTAGTAGAGACGAGTGGCATGCTGTCCACATCACTGCAGGACTGGACAGTCCAAAGACAGGGACAGAAGTGTCAAGATCTTAAAACTTTCTCCCAGAAACTCTCTATGAGGGTGGTACCTACCCAAAGTATTCAGTGAACAGCCCCTTCCTGGTTGTGCATGTAAGATCCTGTGCCCTTTTGTGCTGCACTCTCCAGATAACACTACTAATCTATGTGCTGAAGGCACCACCTTACATCTGGAAAGCATTTCAACCTGTAGGGACATGACCTAAAAACTGGGTCCTTGAAACAAATTGAGGAAAGATAGGAAAATTCTGATGCATTTTCCCAGCCTCCAACTTCAGTTGGCTACTGCCAGTAACTTCATTTTCTCAGTGGAAAATAAAACAGATAATGAGGCATTTGATCCACGTGCTTTGTGTATGTACTTTTAAAATGTCACCTTTGGGTAATTCAACCCCCCAATGGATTATTAATAAAATTCGGCAACTGTCAAAGCACTTCTCAGTGGAAGGAGGTTTGGCGGCGACACCTATTAGAAGACAGACAGATGGCCTTACCTCTCAGCTCCTGCGTCCACAGCTGCGAGTGGAGGTAACTGGGAGGAGGGGTTGTGGGGGCTCCCCTGTACGTTATGTCCCGGAGAAGGGTGACTGACAGGATGTGGGGGTGGCACGGCCCCAGCAGCTGTTCCACTTCGGCTTGAGTGATTGCCCGAGAAAATGGAAGCTGCAATCAAGGGAGAACAAGCATCAGACTGCACGCCACACGAAGAGCACGACCGTACATGCTGGAGGCTGACAGCAAGCATATTTTAGGGGCCTGTTTGTTTTTCTCTTGGTGGTTTTCAGGGAACAGTTCTTCCCTTACTGGATAGACACAGCTTTTGTTTTCATGGTGGAGCAGTTTCCCCGCTAACACGCCTTTACTGCTGCCCGAGGAGTTCACGTTCAGCTCGCTCTAGGCTGACGTTCATGGTTGGTCTCATAAGAGCTGCTTGGCCCGGCAAGTTTCCTGTCTGGACACCGTATAATTAGTCAGTCTTGTGATGCTGTCACCTGGGCGAAGGTCTGCGTATTAGCACTTTTCAGTCACCAGGGATGAGAGTCAGGTAACGGAATATTCTGTCTGCTGACCTAGAAGGGCACAGCACAGGCCTTCTTCCTGTCCTCAGTGCTGCAGTAGGGTGCTGTGGGTCAGGCCCAGCTCCCTCCATCACTGCTAAATCAATGTAATGAGAACAGAGCTTCTGCCAATCCCCTAACCAACGCAGGAGCCCACATTCCTTTAACTTCACAGTCTAACCAACCCTGGGCATTTCCCCAGTGGTATGATGGACAGAGGTACTCAGTTTTCATCAAAAGTGAGTCCTCTCCCAACACCACAAAATATGGAAAGGGGGCCTCAAACGCAGCTCTGGGATCTTCCCCTCCACTGTCCATTATGACACAGAGAGTGAGTTACAGCCTCACTTTAGGAGGCAGCCTAGGCTTTGAGAACCGTATGTGACCTCACACTTAAATGTGTGCCCATTTAGATCAGCTAATTGGTACGATGTCACAGAAGAAACTGGGGCTTGTCACTTTCAGAGTCTATCACTACCAGAGAGGCTCTCTCGGTGTCTGGACCTACTCAGCAGACATCTCATTATGCTGTAATCATACCAGCATCATTATGCTGACTCTCTTTAACTTCCTTTTCTATACACAGCTATTCTGAGCTTTATACCCATCTTTGCTCTTTTTGAACTTACTCTACTGATATCAAAAGATAAATGGATTTTTAAAATTTTTAAAAGATCAGGTTCAGGATTAAGGAAAAAAAGCCACATAATCAAAGAGATCTGAAGGTTTAAAAGTTCAAGAAGCTGTATTTTTAGATCAGTACCACTTTCCTCCAACCTCTCCAGGATAGAATTAATACCCCAGATGACCCAGCCCCCAAAAGCTTAATCCAATGGAATAAGAGTTCAAGTACTTAAAGGAACATGTAAAGAAGCAGAATTACCATCTTCCCGCTCAAAAAGCTACTGACAGGAGTGTGATCTCATTTGAAGGGTTTATTTCTGGTAAGTCAGCACTGTGTCAGGTTAACTCTTGTCCTCAGAAGCCTGCATCCTCCACAGCCTTCCAAGTCTTGAAGAGGTGGTGAGACTAAGAAAATGCTTACCAGCTCAAAGGGGCAATGCAGAACTTCTGTTGTGTGTCAGCCTCCCGAAAAGCTGCACGTTTGCAAACTCGCTAGAGTCACCTTATGAATCACTACCCTCATTTCTGCTCAGCTCGCCCAGGCAACCACATTCTGCTTGTATTCCAAATAATAATTTTACCCACGGGAGAAGGCTGTTTGGATTGACTGTGGCAATTGTTTCAACACGGTGTTTGTCAGCATGAAGCTTGGTGTTTTATATACTATTCTAAAAACTAATGGAATAATAAGAGGTCACAGAGACACTGTGAAAACACAGCTAATTTTTTTTCTGCCTTAATGTAGAAACGTGAGCTCCCCTATTTATTTTGTCGTAGCTGCTGAATGCACTCATCACTTATTATCCCCGGAGGTATTTTTGTATGTACGTGTCATTGTTTATCGCAAGGAAAGTGCTGCCTTGCTGTTTACAACCCACAGGCAACCGGGAAACTTGGTGTGTACACTCTGTGCTCTCCTCTATGGTTTAACAGAAAGTGTAGTGCTTCCCAAAGGTCTACATTAGCTATATTAGCTATGTTTTTGCACTATCTGCTATGAAACAGAGTGGGAAATTTGGTATTGTGTGCAGCCTGCCACACACTGGTTAAGGTCCACTCCTTCATCCTGTTTAATAGCCAAGACCAACCATCCATCATCCATCCATCCAGCCACCCATCTGTCCATCCTCCAACCATTATTTTTTAAATTCAATATTTATTTGGTGCCTAATACATGCTAGCCACTCTACTGTATGTGTCCCTGTCCTTGAGTAGGTTGCAGGTTTTTCAATTGGGCATATTAATTTTATGTTTGTTTTTGTCTCAGGAAGAGAGACCAAAGCTCTCTCTTTCTCAATTGAGGTGTAGCTGATTTACAATGTCGTGTTAGTTTCTGGTGTATAGCAAAGTGATTCAGCTATATATATACACATTTCTTTTCGTTATAGATTATTACAAGCTCCTGAATACAGTTCCCTGTGCTCTACAGTAGACCTTGTTGTTTATCTGTTTTATATAGTAGTTTGTGTCTGCTAACTAGGTGGCTGCAGCTTAATGAGGGGAACAGGCCTCTATATGTCAATTATACCAAAATACTGAGACTTACTAGTATAGAGCATCAAACCCAATGCTTTAACATAATATCTTATTTGTGGCCCAAAAACGTGCCTTAAGCTCTGGCCAAATAAGACAACTGACCACACCTCAAATACGTCACGACAATTTATGCTACTGTGCTTTGGCCTGTAATGTCCTCTACCGTTCTGGACATATTTTAATACTTTGGTGGTATGTGCAGAGTTACTTGATTTCCCCTCATTCCTCTCTCAGCAGCCGATTACTCCACAAATATTAACAGAGTATGTACCATGCGGCAGACACTGAGCTAAGTCCTGGGACAGACCAGACCAGACCAGACACCAGCATCATTCATGTTTGTTTAGTAAACAAAGATGAACACAATCTAAATGCCACTGGAGCCCATCGTGGGCTCCACGACTAGAGACAGAAAGGAACATTTATGCACCAATGCCTGTTCCCCACTGGTCGAGGGCGTTACCTCACTCTCACTAACAAGTAGGCGCACGTACCAGAGTGGCCAAAGGCTCTCACAGATGCCTAACACTAGGGCATCAGAGAAGCCTGAGGGCAGAAAGCCACCCTAAGAGGTGTACAGGTACAGAGCTGAAGGCTCAGAACATGGCCTCCAGTTGTGCTGAGGTCAAGTGTTGATTGACCAACAGTCACACCCACACCTACAGCTCCTCCATCTCTGGCTACAGCCAGTGAACGGCACTGGAACAGGCAGGGAGACCCTTTGGCTGGGGGCCCCATGAGAGTAAGAAAGGGAGGGCTTTCAGGTTCACTTTAAAGTACATGGAACAGTTTCTTACACAGGGTATAAGAAATCACCTGTCGGCAAAATGAAGTCCGTGACTTGCCTCTGTTTTCCAACAAATGGAATGAGAAGTATAAGACACATTCTCTTCTGGTGTGATAACCTAGCTGAAGCTTATAATTCAGTGTTTACACAGAGTACTTGGCACACAGAGTCCAGGACAAGACGGCTGTTTGTGGATGTTGCCTGAGACCAATATAATGACCAGAGATTTAGAGGAAGTAACAACAGAGCATGGCTTTCCAACATTCACACAATCCCCATCTCACATACCCTTCATGTAAAATGGACAAGACTCTGGAGACAGGTAGGTATGGCTTCAGTAGGGTTGCCGTTGACCTCCACCAAAGAGCCACATTTCTCAGAAATTGCCACTGTGGCACAGGGCAATTTACCTCTCTTACTTACACTGACTTCTGGGAATTTCTGGCTGTCAAGGTCATACAACCAGGATCGTCATGACTTACCACAGTCTAAGAATATTCATTCATTCATTTAAGCACAATTTTCCAGCCCCTACTCTGTACCAGGGAGGCGCTGGTCTCAACATTTGAAGTCAAATACCTGAGAACTTCACACAGGCCTGCCTACCACAACACATACTTATAAATGTTCAGGCTTTGCTAAGTGATTTTTAATCTCACAAAGAAAATCTCCACGTTAGAGTGCAAGTGTAAGGTTACTCACGTTGGAAAAATTTCCCTCCATACACACTCAAAATGATTTTCCCAGCTCCACCAATGGGACATACAATGAGGCCTATCAATGACTGCATAACCAAGAGAACGTATCCCTCCAGAATCCAGGGCAATGTTAACAAAACTGTTGTGATCAAATCCAGCAGCACACACAGGCTACCCACGGGGAGAGCCTTCATTGTCTAGTGTCACCTCAGGGGTCAGTGTTGCTTTTAAGGCTGGAAGAGAGCTCTTGGGTGAGCCTCCAGAATGTGCTGATGAGTGGCAGCTGGAACAACTGATTAGGCACGGCAGAGGAACATACTGGAAATTCTTATTGCTTTTGTGATTAAGAGATGGTGGAAGTAAAAGCCTGGTCTTGAGATGAATTTGTGAGCCCTGCTTTCAGCAGAGGACCAGGAGCTGGCCTCTCTGCGGCTCGAGGCTTGCTTTCTCTCTGAGGCTTGGCTTACTGCAGTCCCCCTACCCTGCTTCCTTGTGGAGGTAGGTGGAGGTGACTCAGGCTTTTTAATTTCAACAAAGCATCATCTGTTGATCTATGTGGTCTCCAGATGCCATCTCACCATCTATTGGGACCAGGGCCTTCTAGGCTTGAGCCTTTAACTGGCTTAGGTTAATTTGGGTTAATAGGCAGCTCTCTTGCTATGTGTCAAATGAAAACAATTAATCTATATTTTTAATAAGTATGGATACGGCACCCTTGGGGATACTTCAGCGATCACATATTCACCATATGAGCAGAGGGAGGCAAAGAGTTCGTACCTTCCCAAAATGAAGACTGTTTGTCTCAGGCCCATCAACCGAGCCAGGGAAGGCTATATCATGGGCGTTATTTGGTGACTATGTTTTCATCATTTGAGAGGCAGGGAAGAAGACCTCCCATGTTAGGCTGAGGTATAATGAAAATAGTCAGTTGGATGTTCTAAATCATCTGGGCAGCTAGAA